GCAAAGCTCTGTTCTTGAACTACCACAATGGTGTGGCTGCCAGGACAGCGTTACCCATATCAGATTTGAGTCTTAGGGCAAGGCCTTCTTCATACCTCTCTCCCTCATTCCACATCTGAAAGCCATCATTAAAAATTCCTTGGATTACTGCTGGGCTGAAGAGTACACTAGATGTAAATGAATAAGATCATTAGATTCTGACAGTAAAGAAGGAACAATTTGGAAGATTGGGACTGGGGAATGGCAGGGGGAAGCTTGGAACAGGAAGGGAGAAAATGAGATAAATACCAATTCCATAGTTTTGCCAAGGGCTGGTCCCGACCACAGTGCTCCCAGAGGAGTGGCCCCACGAGAAAGAGGGAAATATTAACATGTCCTTCGGGCCGGCCGAGTGGCGCGATGGTTGAGAGCTGGCTTGGGACGCCAGAGGGCCCCGGTTCGGATCCCACATATGAGGGCCAGTGACACTGCCCTCTACAGCTAAGATGCTGAACAACAGCTCAACCTGGAGCTGGGCTGCCATGAGTCGCCGGCGACGGCGTAGGCTGCAGCCCCTGTGGCAGTGGGTTGCCATGGGCTACCGTGTGTAGCCAGCAGCCAGCGTGAGCAGCCAGCAGCCGCAGTGAGCGGCCGTCCAGAAGCCGGCGACTGATCTGCCTCGCCCGGGAAGAGCGCAATGATGGTGCCAACTTGGGCCAGTGAAGCAACGTCCTCCATAACTAGATTGAAGAACAAAACAATAGCAACTTGTCTGTTCCCCTTCCCCAATTCCCCAATAAAAAATTTTTTTTAAAAGAATAAAAAAAACAACAAAAAAACCATGTCCCTCATCTCCATACTTTCTTTTCCAGGTCTGCTGGAGCTGCAACCTCTACTAGATTACACCTAGATCCTAAAAAGAGCCAAGAGGATGCCCCCTGTCTTTCCAGGGACCTGAGGTGTTTTTGTGAATGAACATCTGGTGGGTCAGTATGTGGAAATTTCAGCAAATCATACTGAAATCCAGTCATTCATGGCCACCATAGTCCCCACCTAGGGTTCTAAGAGCATCAGGCAGTTAGAGTAAGCTGTGTCTTGAGAAGCTGTAGGGAGTACAGTATACCTCTCCCCCAAGCACCTTCACCAAAATGTAAACATTTCAAGACATCTGTCCTTCCAGACTCTACTGAAATCCAGAACTGGAGACTCTTTCCTTGGGTTTCACCTTTACATTTTCCTGAGCGATCTAGTATAGAATATGAATACCGTAGAGGGAGAGTCATCTGAAGCAATGACTAAGCCCTGCTGCTTCTATGTAATGTAATTTAGCTGCTTGCCTTTTTCTGTGGCTTAATAAGTGCACCGTGGGACCACGACATGGATGTACTTAGCACTACTAAATTGTACACTTTAAAAAATGGCTAAGATGGTAAATTTTACATTGTGTATATTTTACCACAATTTTTAAAAGTGTACCTGAGATATCCCCATCTGCTTTGACTGCACCCTTTTCAGTGGAAGAAACTGAAGCCACCAAGACCCTGCCTTCCTTCAAATCACAGTTGATGGGGGACTGGTGGGCTTACTCAGTCCCATGTTCTGAGATCTTGCACAGAAACAAAAGTTGCCATAATCACATTATTTGTCTTCCCAGACAGGCTATAGGTTGTGTCAAGTAACAAAAGGAGCTGAAAGGTGACTTCCCATCCAACCTCTTCTCCTAAATCCATTTTGATGGGTGGTTCAAATTCACCTAGGGTTGACTGTTGACTAATCTAATCTATTCACCATTGGTGGTCCTCAGACATGCTCACTTACTTTCACAGAATATTCTAGGTTGATCCTCCCCCTACCTCCCTCATAAAGTCCACACCCTATGATTCTTTCCCTTCATTCTCTTCTCTTATCCCCTCTCTCAATTCCTGACTTGTGTCTTCCAAGTCTTGACTCTAGTCCTGGTGCAGCCCTGAAAATACGCAGTATTAAATGTTGTAATGTTTTTTAAAGGTACTGTGTCCATATAGTAAAAGAGAGTAAAGTAGGATAATGAGACAGTTATACACAGATTCCTAGTCATCTAATATTCTGATAATGGGGGAGATAGGCTCAGAAATCTGGGAACTAGTATCCATGTCTTTGCAATCTTCTTTAAGCAATAAGAGTAGATTCTACATAGTGAAGAATTTTTTCTTCCTTCTTCCCCCTCCCCCCATACATCTGCCCAAGGGCACTCCCTCAAGGAAGGAAAATGAAAATATAAACCTAACACCTTGTGCTTCTATAGCTGCCGTACGTCCCTTAGCCCTTTCCCATATGTTGTCTCACTTGATCCTCAAATCCCCACAGCTGTGGAGACAGACCAAGAGAGGTTAAGCGGCGCACTCTGAGAAACAAAGCCCGTTAATTAGCAAAGCCAGGGCTGGATCCCAGTTCTCCAGATTCTGGTCCTGTGTTCTCTCCATGACACTACAACACAACGGTACATTTACTTTAGCCTTTAGGCAAGATTGTTGGGAAAGCAGCCCAGTCCCTTTTCTTTTTGTTGATACAAATCATGTGCAGAGCTTCGGTTTCTAAAAGAGATGGCAAATTGGAAAGGAGAAGATGGTAACTACAAATAAATGAAAGACCCCATTTATATCCCTCTAGAAAAGTAAATCAACAACACAGAATTATGTCTGTAATGGAAGAAAAGCTGCCGTTTCCTTTTGCACTGTTAATGAGCACTTCCAGACATTGGAACTCAAAATATCTCTTAGTCCCACTTTGTTGAAAGCCTTAAGTGACAAGTGAGGAAGTATGGGTCTTCTTCTTCATTATTATTAGGAAGCAAAGATCTGAACCTGAAGTGAAACAGCATCTGCTTACACAGAATTGAAAAACAGACTGCCGGTTGGGTTGAAAAAAATAATCCCTCTAATTTATTAGAGTCACATTAAGAAGAAGGCTACAATTTCCCCAATTTGTTTGGTAGCTCATGCTATTCAGGAATACTTTATCAAAACTGGGGGTTGGCCAAACCCCTAGTTTTTCTTTCTTCTCTCTACATTTTGATGAGCAGGATATGATCGCTCCAGTGCTCACTGGGTGGTAGAATGTCCAGACTTCTGGGATACTGCATTATTTGGGACACAGTCACAACTCTGAAAGTGTTTAAAGAAAGCGACTGGGCAATACAGCAAATTGCTTGTCCCAGACCAGTTCACTTTTCTCAATGGAAGAGTTCTGTAGCTACCCTTGCTACATGATCTTAATGGGTAGGGTACGCTAATCATCATTAAAAGGTTAAAATATTTTTAAAGGCCTGACCACCGCATTGTATTTCTGAAACTGATGTTGAATAATACTGTATGTCAACTATAATTATATATACATATAACCTCGGGACATGGAGTAGAGTGTGGGAACGGATTCAATGGAATTGTAATAGATAAGCATGATATCGGGGGTGGGAGGGCAGTAGATGGGGGAGGGGGGTTGTTACTTTGTGAGGGTGAAAAGGGTAACTATTGCATTGTTCTGTACACCTGAAACTAA